ATCTAACTTATGATGATGTAGATTTATCTATCCAAGAACTTTGTGAGACTTCATCATTAAAATATAATTTCTGGAACGGTATAGTGGCTCACTCCTATGAACTGCAGGACTTGGGAGGCCAAGGCAGGCAGATCACTTAAGCCCAGGAGTTAAAGACTGCTCTGGGCAACATGGAGAAACCCCATGTCTACAAAAAAAAAATACAAAATTTGTATGAGCATGGTGGTGCATGCCTATAGTCTGAGCTTTTTGGGAGGCTGAGGCAGGAGGATCACTTCAGCCCAGGAGGTTGAGGCTATAGTGAGCTGTGATCACACCACTACATTCCAGCCTGGGCAACAGAATGAGACCCTGTCTCAAAAAAAAAAAAAAAAAAAAAAAAAATTACATCAATAGGCTAGCACAGTGGCTCATGTCTGTAATCCCAGCACTCTGGGAGGCCAAGGTGGGGGGATCACCTGAGGTCAGGAGTTCAAGACCAGCTTGGCTAACATGGGGAAACTGCATCTCTACTAAAAATACAAAAATTAGCATGGCATGGTGGCTCATGCCTATAATTCCAACTATTCAGGAGGCAAAGGTGGGAGGATTGCTTGAACCTGAGAGGTGGAGGTTGCAGTGAGCTGTTATTGCTCCACTGCACTCTAGGCTGGGTGACAAAGCAAAACTCTGTCCCAAAAAAAAAAAAAAATTGCATCAATAATGTGTATATTTGAGCTTACTAAAGTTGCTTCTAACCATGAGATGAATTAAATTTATTCTTTTTGATATATTTCACAGAAAAAACCTGTGGTCCCACAAAGGGCACCATGACCTTCAGGTGCTTCCCAAGATGAGCCAGTCTGAGAACTGTTCCCCTTAGAAAAAGTATTCTTCACTAAGGCACTAGGTTAGGAAATGAATTATCAATTATTACATGGTCATTGCCTTCCTCATTCATTCAAAAAAAAATGGGTTTTTTAAATGCTTCATTTTTGAAACCACTGATCAGATGACAAAGATAACCCTGGTCCTTACCTATACAAAATTTTGGTCAAATGATTGAAGTGAACAGTAGAGAGCTACAATACAGTGAGAGTTGTGATGGATCAGGAGTAGGGTGCTGAGGAACCAATAGACTGGACAGTTAACCTCCATTTGTGGTGTTGGACAGCTTCTCTAGAAGTGGCACCTAATATGAAATATCAAGGCTTTGGAGGAGATACACATACTTTTGGTTTCCTTTTCTTTGTTATGATCCTACATAATTGCTTTGTTGCGTTTAACTTCCAATCTTCTTTGATATATATACATTTGCAAGTTTGAGTTCTGAATATTTTTCAAAATTGCTTGGGAATGGTAATGTCTGTTTAGAACTTGAAAACTCATCCGTCAGAAGGTGTTTGCATTAGCCATGGATTGGCCAGTTTTTCCTTCCTGTTCTCATAATCAGACATTTATATAATTAGTACTTAACCAGAAATTACTGGCTCTCTGCATGGCGAAGCAGAACCCTCCATTGCCCTGCAGGATGGTTGCTTTTAATGATTGCTAAATGATTCTCTTTCTGTCTTAGTGAAGAAAACTTTTTTAAAAAATAACCTATAAAGTCTTTGTTGTTTTTCTCAACTCCTTTGACAGATTACCTATAAAGCTTTTAATACATCACAGGCATTTTTTTTTTTTTTTT